ATTTCCAGATATGTAGCGGGTAGGCTTGGATAGTTAGGACTCAAAATACCAATAAACCCGAAAAATATTTGAAAAATACTTCAAACCATAAATAAATACTCAAAATATATTCAAATATCTGAAAACCTTGAATTTTACCTAATCTGACTCGAAAAACAAAATATACCCAAAAATTTGATTTGAATATCCAAAAAAAAAATAAAATATATATATATATATATATGTATATATATATTTTAGAACCCGAAACCTAAAACTGTAACTAAAACTTAAAAGAATATACATCATACCAAAAACATATATGAAATATCCAAACATATATAATAAAAAAAAAATATTGAGTGCTTTTATGTACCCGATCGGGTCTCGGTTATGATCCATACTAGAATCGATTCCTGCGGGTCTTTAAAGATAGTAAGTACTTTATCATGGATCCTAGCCGAACCTATATTTTCGGGTCGGTTTGGTCGTGTTTTTCGATCCGGATAAAATGTCAAGACCTAGAGAGAGTTACATTAAAAACTTACATATAAAATCTCAAATAAACTAATTAAATTACATAATTTTTCAAAAAAATCTATTTTATATCTTAAGATTTGTAGCCTAATAATGTACATCCTTTCTAAAATACTAAATCATATCAAAATTTGTTTATAATCTAACAAAAACCCGCGCTTTTGAAGCGCGGGTCAAAATCTAGTATACATTAATATACTTTCGCTCTATAAGTAGATTTTCTGGTCGTGGTGCCAATCAAGAAATAAGTACGTGTGATTAGGACCTATAATGATTAATCAATGTTTATTATTACAGGTTAGATATGATCATATGAATCCCAATGATAAAATCTTTAATTAGTTACTTGGACAATGCACTTGTTGTCTCATGATTTTTTTCAAAAATTTCATCCCAGTTGACAAATTTAAATAATTCTATAACCTAACAATCTGGATTAATAACTAAATGATGTTTTATTTACAGTTATAATTTGAACAGATAGTAAAGTTTCCTTTTCCATATATGAAACCAATAAAATTAAATAGATGTTCTTTTAGGGACAAATTTTCTAAATACTACAAAAATATTTTTATCACAAAATAATACTCAATGCAGAAAATGACCAAAATAATATTCATTAAATACAAAAAATTAACATACCTTTTATGAATAATATATTTAGCATAAATATCTTTATAGTATTAAGACATATGTTTTAAAAAATAAAAAATTACCTTAAGCCTTAAATTATATACCTTAAACTTTAATTTCTAAATCACATCCTCATTATCTTGTTTATAATTCTTAAACTATTAACTATGGAATATATGTGTCTTTCTATTTTTTAACTAAACCTATTTATATAATCTTTTTCCAGTATGTATTGTCTATTTTTTGACACGGATAATAAAATAATAACTATAAAAATTATAGAGAAAATGCATGAATTACCATAGATTAGATACTAATTTTCAAAAATATTTCTAATAAAAAATTATTTAACTATTAGGTTTGTTAGTGATTATTATTTAAAGTTTAATATTTATAAGGTGTGATTGAGTTTAAATTTTTATATAAATAATTATTAAATATTTATAAATGATTTAGAATAAAAAATAAAATAAATGATTTAGAATAAAAAATAAAAAAATAAAAAAAATGATTTAGAATGATTAGTTTAGTTTTAAACACCACAAATTTACGTTTCTTATGAAAGTAATCATCTTTCTAGAATAAACTTGAAAAATAGTATCAAATTCGTAGTAAAATTAGAATTTCTACAAAAGGGTGTCACTTTATGCTCCAGTTTTTAGATGATTAATGAAAAATGAAAAGTATCCCCATGTCCCTACATCATTGAATCTACTACAATCGAATAAACACGTTAGATAATCGCTGGCACTTTAACTAATGAATCAAAAATCAGCTGTCAAAATCTTATTTAGTAATTGAACTCTTATTTCTTTTTTTTGGCAGCAATTGAACTCTTATTTGATTAACGTAATATATAGTATGTAACTAAATACAAGAAAATGAAAAAAAAAAAAAAAATTCGTACAAAAGTAAAGAGGCCCCACATCGATCGATATAAAAGAGAGATCTATAAATCTGACGGCGTGAAGTCAACGTGCGGTCAATAAACCCGTCAAAAGTAAAACAAGTTAACGGAGATAGTCATCACACAGATCTCTCTAGTCTAATCCAGGACTCCTCATCTCCAACTGCTGTACCGGTGAATCCACCGGCGAAACTGAAATCTCCGGCGACAGAGGCGAAGAAGATTCCACGGAAGACGAAGATTCCAATGAGGTGGTAGATGACAACGGCTGAGGCGGAGGAGGAGTAACTATTTCCAAAGAAGAGAAACGGCTGAGATCTTCAGGAAGCTTCTGTTTGTTTCCGTCGGAGACTTTAACGTCTCTCGTTAAGTAAGTCCTCAGGCGTTTCACGTCGGCAAGTTTCACAGGTTTCAGTAAGAAGTCCTCAGCACCTTCTTCAAGGCATCTGCAGATTATTATTTTTTAGTTTAAATTTAATATTAATATGAAATTTGATTAAAACTAGAGATTCACCTGTCGATTCGAGTGAGAACGTTCTCGGAGGACATAATCACAACCGGAACTTCTCGGAAACTAGTCGACTCCTGTTTCAGAAAAAAATCCACATTTTTCAAAAGGCTTATAACTATTTTCAGGGTTCCACCAAAAAAAAAAAAAACTATTTCATGGAGGGAAAATAATTCAAACCTTAATCTTCTTGAGAAGCTCGTATCCAGTCATTCCAGGCATACAGTAATCAGTTATGATCAAATCAACCTTCAATCTCTGAAATATTCAAAATCAAATTAATGAAAAATCTCAAAAGCTCTTCCAAAGTTAAAACTGATTCCAAAGCTTAAGCAAAAAAAAAAAAATGTTAAAACAGATTCTTATGAGAGATTACATCGAATTCAACTGAGGATTTATCATCGTCCAACCCTAAGAACTCCAGAGCACGCCATCCACTATCCACCGCCGTGACTGCATTTGAATCACCGTACATAATTTTATTTATTTATTTATTTTTGAAATGAAGAAGAAGAAAACAAACAAAACCTTTGCAAGAAGTAATACGAAGCAATCTTTCGATGACGATACGGTCGACGAGGCTGTCATCAACGGCTAGAACGTGAACTTGGTCAGAATCCAGCGGAGGAGATTCGAGTTCTCCGATTCCTATTCCGATCATCTCTGACCTACGTAGACAGGAAACGCCACCGTCTAGAGGCATAGCTCTGTGTCCCTGTGAGGAAAGAGAGAAGAGAGAAAGTGCCAACTCTGTTCTTTTGCTTTCTTCTCCTTCACTTCCTTTTTATAAGCTTTTCAAAATCAAATCTTTATTGCTGTCCTTTTCTTACTTTAATGAATAAATAAATCTTTTACAACAAAAAGAATAAATAAATAAAGACATTCTTCCGATTGAATATATAAATAAACGAGATTTAGTAACAGTGTGATGTAAAAACATGTGTTTTTCTTTGATTCTTACATTTACATACATTGTTGAGAAAATATACTACTTGTTTTTTTAACAATTGGTGGTGGACCTAAGGCCACCTCTCATGAATTAAAAATAAAAATAAAATAAAAAACAGAGAGATTCGAATCTATGATACAATTCAAATTCTTCTTGAAGTTGCAGCTGCTAAAGGTTTGAAACTCTATCAAATAGACATCCGCAACGTTATTCTACATGGTGATCATAAGAAAATATTTTATATGAAACATCCATGAAGTTTTCAACTCTTGGATTTATCTATTGTATGTAAGTTATGCCAAGCACCTAGTTGATGGTTCTCAAAGCTTTCCATTGCATTCTTTACTGCAGATTTATCCAATGCTGCAAATAATGACTACTCTTTGAGTCTTTGTTCACTTGGGTTTGTGACCATGTTCATATTCTTATATATGTTAATGATTTCGTGAGCACGATTATTATCTAGTTCAAAGACTTCTCCACACATGTTTCCGCATAAAAATATTAGGTATTTTGAAATATTTTTGGCACTGAAGTAGCTCGTGGGCCAGTTTGCATATATGACAGAAGTACTGTATTTGTATTATTTTTGAGTGTGGTGTTAGTGGTGCATGACCCTTTGGTACCAATTGAACAAAACCATCATGTTGCAGTTGCATCCGATAAGGGCCCATTTTACATGCATCCGACGAGGCACGTACATCTCATTGGTGGCCATAATTATCTTGCCCTCACTCGTCCCAGATTGAGTTACAATATCCTCGCTCAGGTCATGCGTGTACTTCAACAAATGCATGGGACGCTGCAATGTTTGTAGTACATTACTTACAAATGTCCTGATTGAGTTTTATGTGACTCTGATTGAGTTTTATGTCCATGTACTCCGACAATGCTTCTATGGAAAACAAAGATCCAGACAAAATTTATCTTTCATCCACATAAGCACAATATAGATCCATGACGCTTGCAGTCATGAGCTTCTATGGATTAAAAGTCCTCTTGAATCACTTGGTATTAATCATGATACTCCAAGGGGAAAAACTCGTGGGGATTGGTTTGATTGGTTTTCCTTTCTCTTGCATATATAGAGAGACCTATATAGAGAGAATATATAGAGAGAGACCTATTAAAACCTTGTGGGGATTGGTTTGATTGGTTTTTCTTTCTCTTACATATATAGAGAGACCTATATAGAGAGAAATATATAGAGAGACCTCTTAAAACCTTGTGGGGGTTTAACATTTTACCAAAAAAAAAGAAAAAAAAAACCTTGTGGTGTTGATGGATCTTGCAAAAGAATAATATAATATAGGGAGAATTTGCCAAATGACTAAAATCTCAACTATAATTAAGAGAATGACATTGATTTTGACTTAATTTAGAAAGTAACATTTACCATCAAACTTGTCCGGTTATACCTTTTCTCCGAATAAGTTACAGGTGACAAAAGATGAGGTGATGACATTGACACCAACTTATCTGGCCCATAATTTATGTTTCTTGTTCATAACTTGCAAAAGAAAAGCGGGCCACGTCAATTTAATTTTTACCACATACGAAGTTATTGATTTCAGTGACCAAAAATTGAATACCTTCTACTATATTGTATATTCCATTCAATTACATCAGTCATTCTATTTTAATAAAACAGAAGAAGACAAAAAAAAATGAATTGCGTGAAATCACTAATGCTGAGCAGATGCATATGCACATAGTGTTATTCCATATCACCGAAGTAGTATAAGATTATAATTCCACCTACAACCACTATATATTAAACATATCTCAGTCTCCATTCCTAGATATGAAACCTTATTTCAATCTCATCCCAACCCCTAATAATTAAACCCTAAACTTCAATCAGTAAACGCTAAACCTAAATATAAACCCTAAAATTCAAATAAAATGAAATAAAATAAATAACATATTACATATTAATGAATTTATGAAATTTCTATGTATGTATGGAATAAGTTAATGATGACCAAAGCCTCCTCATCATCTAAATACTAAACCCTAAACTCTAATCACTAAACACTAATCCAAATATAAACTCTAAACCCAAATATAAACGCTAAACCCAAATAGAATGAAACAAAATAAATAACATAGTACATATTGGTGAAATTATGAAATATCTATGATTGTATGGAAGAAGTTAATGCTGATACTGCCTCACTTTCCAAATATAAACCCCAAACCAATCACTAAATCCAAACCCTAAACACAAATATAAACCCAAAATATAAATAAAAAAATGTGAAAATAGCACATAATATTTTGTAATATTAGACTATACTATATAACTAGAAATTATAGAATAGACTTACGAATTATAAATTGGTAAGAATGATTTTCCAGTAAAGACAGTGGTGATGATGAAATTATGGTACATTTCTGTTCTATATTTTTCTACTGCATATAGTCTAGTTGATTAACAGTTATATAACTTAACGGCATCCATGTTTCACATCTACTGACCATATATATAGATATCCGAGTATTTTATTCTATATTTTCAAAGTAGGATTCCAATAACACTAACCAATTTTAAATACTAAACTCTAAATCTTAATCACTAAACCCTAAACCTAAGTATAGACCATAAGCCCAAATACTAAATCCTAATCATTAAACCCTAAATCCAAGTATAAACCATAAACCCAAATATAATGAAACAAAATACATAGTATAATACATATTGATGAACAAAATAGAACACGCTTTATTAATCGTCAAATGGAACAATACATTAAAGGGTCATTAAACCCAAACTTCAACCCATACCTTCAAAATATATACTAAACTCTAAATCCTAATCACTAAACCATAAACCCACAAAATAGATCATAAACCCAAATATAATGAAACAATATACATAGTATAGTACATATTAGTAAATAAAATAGAACAATCGTTATTAATCGTCAAATGGAACGACACATGATGGAGTCACTAAACCTAAATTTAAACCCAAACTTCAACCCCCACTTTCCAAATAAATACTAAACGCTAAATCCTACCCTAAACCCAATAATAGACCCTAAATCCAAATAGAATGGAACAAACACATAGTATAATACATATTGGTGAATAAGAACATTCTTTATTAATCGCCAAATGGAACAATATGTGATAAAATATTGTTTTACATTTCTATTGCATACATATATAATATAATAGAACACGATTTAACATAAACTGATCTTCTCCAAAGAATAGTATAGCCCGCAAGTAGTACTCCAACCCCACCATACTTACTAAATCTAAACTCTAATTATGATTTATAAACCCAAATATAATTTGTATAATGTGTTGCAAATTTCTATTTATGTACTATATATAGTATAGAACCTCTATAAACAGAATAGACGGGTCAGTTTACTCCATTTTGGTTCTTATAATGCTTAAATACTAAAACACAAGACAAATTCATAATTACTAAATCTAAATCATGTTCATTGATCTATAAACTCAAACATAATTTATAAATTTTAGATATTACAACAGCATATGAAACGTAAACATAAGTTAAATAGATCTATACTATACTATACTATACTATTTCTGATATTAGTCAGTCCCCATTGTTATTTAACCAAACCAAAATTCATTTTATGTTAAGTGGAATATACTTCAGCCATATGTAGAATAGATATTGAATACTATATAAAATACTAGATATGGAATAGAAACAAAATATATGAAATTAATCTGTAACTGAGAGTAATTGTCAGATTATTAAATACAACAAAATTGTATGTTTATAGGTTACGAGAATAGTTATGTTTAAGCACACACAGTCCAATAAGAAACAAATAACAATATACAAAGCGTAGACGCAGACATGGGTTAGTTTTCCGCGGTCGGAGACCCACCTTATACAAATCCAGAGTTGTAATATCATAGTTATGCTGCTGCACGGACATGGTCTTCAATTATAGCAAAACCAGTCAACTACTTCTCCGACGCGTGCAACTTTAAGAGGATAAGGGTCACAACCGCCTGAGTATCGTACAAACATTTCATTAAAGTGAGTATTATATAAAGCAGAGACATCTTTATGAAGACAGAAAGTGGAGAGCGGACTATACTTGGGTGTTCAACAAGGAAAGATATATCTATTCGGGATATGGGCATGTTAAAGTGGGAAGAATAAAAAAGTGAGAGTGAAATATATTGTAAACATGCCTATGTTGGTTATACAAATAAAGCATACTATATACTAAATAGAATGGAACAATGGGAGTGCAATAGATTGTGAACTAGCCAATACTGGTATACAAATTAAATAGTATACTATATGCTAAATAGAATGGAACGCTTGTTCGTGCAAAGTATAGTGAAACAGAAGTGGGAAATGGATAGCACAAATTACTAGAATGGAATAGAAATAACCAATATCCACATTAAGTAGCAAAAAGTTTATATTACCGCAAGAATAGACTTGCTACGAAGAACAATAGAGAATAAATCACATGGAATAATGAAATAAACGGAATAGCTAAGTGCACAATCATGTATATTATGTACATCAAGCATAAGTAGAATAGTTAGGTCTAATATAATGGGAATCTACATTTGTGCAACACTAATTGTAACATCCCTCTCTATCAAATAAGAACACACAACTTCTAATAGAATAGAAATTAAATAAGATTGGATAGAGTAGAAAGTAAATGTGCCTACTTCCTAAACACTAAACCCACTATCGCCCATCATCCATCAACTTCCCCTTTATAACCGGATAGGAAACAAAAAGCAGAGCCGGTAAGACCGTCGGAACACTCAGATCAG